TAGACACTAACTCCCTTCGCATCAGTGCTGCCATTTACTTTGCTTTTTATTGCTTGTTCCTCACTGCTTTTTATTTTCGGTGCAAGCGTTGCAGTTCACCTTGGAAGTGATTTCTTGCTTGTTTGGGCAGAGCAGAGATGCACTCCGGGGAATCGATGAGAGGGAGCCCTCAGGTTTACACAGTCATGCAGACTTCTTCACGGGAGCACCTGCCAAGCATCTTTAAAAGATGCTGGAAGTATATGACGGCAAAATTGAGATGTCCACCTGGGTGTTGTCTAGGACCTGAGAGCTGAGACCTTTTAAAGCATCGGAGCACTTCTTTTGAAATAAACCTTTTCTTTTATAGTTCCATTAAACAACTTCAGAATCTGTCCCGAGTGGTGGTCCCTGTGCTTTGATACTTTAATTATCTCTGCTTTTCTTATTTGAATGAGAGATTAGTAACCTGACTGGCATGGAACTGGAAGAGGAACAAACATTGTGTACCAGCTCCCCTAATCATGCACAATGTTAGTGTGAACTGGGAGAGCACAAATCCCCGAAACACCACGCAAACAAAACTGCTCCGACAAGCAGGATCCAACATGGGGCTGAGATGATTTTGCCATTGCTTTCCACCAAAACTCAATAATCGTTGCAGCCCCTCTCTTAAAACACATTCCCCGAAAGAAGGAGCAGGTGAGCATGGGTCATGGGAATTGACTGCATGTAGCAAAGATCTGGGGCAAAGGCTCTTCTTGGAAGTGTGCACACCTTCCCTGAGCATCAGTGAGACAATCCATGAAGAAATCTTCCAGAGACGCTCAGGCCAGGTCAATCAAATCTAACATCTTCCCTTAAAAAGAGACAAGTGACTGTTTTGCTAAGGGCTAAATCAAATAATGAGGCATTTTGCTCAATAGCTTCCAACCTTTGGTCCTCAGGAGCTTATCGATGAGTTTGTGGGATTTGGTGAGTCAGTGAAAAGCAAGTCCATATCTGCTTTACATTCAGTCTTTCAAATGGGGTCCTTATATGCCAGAAACTTGAGAAAGCCACAGATCAGAGAAGTTTGAAAACTAGTCGAGAGTGTATATTTGACTATTGTAGTAACTGTTTGGTCCCTGAAAGGCCTAATATTTGTGCACAACGAAACCTGTGTGGTGAACTGGGTATTGCTGGAGCCCACGGGGCTGTGAAGCCTGACTTATGCATGCCCATCACGGAGGAGGTCTGTCTGCCTGTGTTTGCTGAATCAGACCATTGCTTTGAGTGGTGCCAGGTGAAATGATGGATTCGGTGGGAATTGTACACCGTTCCTCTGAGGAATCAGCTGGTACAGTCTGACAGTGCTGCTTGCTTGAGGAACAAATACAAGGAGCAATGGGGGATGGAAAACGGTGAAGGGAAAAATAAATAGGGGTCTTTCCCCTTGGCAAAAATTTCAATTCCGTAGAAACTTTCTGATTAATTGGATTAAAATTAGGGATGAAGGGAGAGTTTTCTTTAGAATGTCTGCGAAAATTTGTTTTTCCCTGGCATTTTCCCACCTGCTGTCTATTGAGAGCACCAGTCACAGGAGAGCAGGGATGTGTGAGGAAGTGGAGTGGGGGTGGCTGAAATCGGATGGATAATGATTGAGATTAAAAGACGTAAAAGAGTGGTTTCCAAGAGGCAAGAGCTGGACAGTGGCAGTTCCCTCAGCTTTAGGGATGTGAACGTGGAGACAAAGGGGAAAAGCCAGGAGGGGGATAGACAAAAATCTAAGAATTAACGCATTTTGTTCGTGAGATATTTTAACAGCTGGTCCTCCAAGACTAATTTCAGGCTCCCATTTCGGTTATTCCTTCTTTTCACTATTTGCTCTTCTCTGTCTCTGTTTTGTTTTTTTTTTCACCTGTGCTTCATGTAGTTTCTCTGTGGCTATGCATCCAGCACATTTGGCCAGTCGCCCACACCCACACCAAAGGTAAACTGAATACATGAGTTCCTCTGTTGTATATTCATCTCTCTTTGGCAAGGATTGTGCTTTGCTCTTGTCAGTTTATTCCTCTTCCTGCACTATCTATAGAGGATCCATTTCAAGTGAGCGATGTGACGGAGAGCATTTTTATGGCTTGTTGAATAGATACAGGTGTATGACTGTGTCCTTTGTTTCTAGGATTCAACTCAGAAGAGCTTTGTAGTGATGGGAATTTGGTTTGGATAAAATCAGAACCAGCCCGAGCCAAAGTTTTGAGGATTTTTTCTGATATTCGAATCATTTTAATTAACTTCAGAAGGATCATCTGTGGGATTTGGCTGTTGTTTATCATGGTGCCACCATTGGCTTCAGTGGGACATTATTCCTCCATGCAACTGCAAATCTGGCCCTGTTTTGCCCTTCCTGGGGCAGGAAGCTGACAGTTCATGTGTGACGAGAGACTCCTGGATGGCATTTCTGGGTTGCTTGGAAATGCCATCATTCTTGGGAGGGGTTAGGTCTTGTTCAGGGGAGAGCTCCAATCCAAGCCTTCAATGACACAGTTAATATTGAACTTTGCCGTGATCATCCAAACAGGCTCTTGGCACCTTTTTTAGGTCTTTTCTGTTGAATCTCATCTCCTGACTGGTTCTGATGGCTTCCCAAACCTTTCTTGCTAGATATTTGGTCATAGGGTAGCATATTGTGTGCTAAAGGTTTTGTGAAGTTAGCTTTGCGACTCTGCTCACATTTCTATTATAATCTTTCGATAGCCAGAGGATTATGTTAGAGATGGACCTGACTTTCAAAATTCAAACCCTTGCATGGGGCTGAATTTCAACCCTTCTTACCTCTGCAGTGTCTCGGGGTGTTTGGACTTGGAATTCCAATGAGGGGGATCTGATCCAAAATGACCCAAAGTCATTCATTCCAGAGCTGGACTCCTTCCCCTCCATATCATTGCAAATTGTTTGGATTGCAGCATCTCATTGGTCCCTGCTCTAGAGCTGTAGCAATGCCACACACCAAAAAAAAAAAAAAATCCTTCCTGAGTTAGGATATGGGGGGATTAAATTGGGCAAAATCTGTCAGAAATGCCCAGGCCAGTCTTTTTCTCTGAAGACAACAACAGGAGATACAGGGAAATGGGAGACGTAATACTGATGATTTCTCTGAGTTTTGTTGTTGTCATAGTTGTTCTCATAATATAGCCTCGTGTTTTGTAGGTTTTCTAATGAATAATAATTGATCATATTTGTTAGGCACTGAGGCAAGGGTGGAACAGCCAAGCTAAAAAAGATTTTCCAATTATATCAACATCAGTAAGTTTTATAAAATGGTGGTGTAGTTCAAAATAGTGATACTCGGCACTGTTATGTAGCCCATGTCAACTTTGCATCTGAAGGCACCTTCCAGACTGCACAGCCTTTAGGAGAGAGGCTGTCTCTTCACTATATGTCACTGCAGAACCTGCTGTGAGGGGGCCTCAACTTTCAGTGGTCGCCTGGAGGCCACCCCAGTGACATTTCGTATAACAAAATAACAAACAAAAAGCATCATTTTTCTGAGAATTCAGAAAAAAGGCTGAGAAACAACATGTCATATTGGCATGGCCCATTTTAGTGACCTAATAGTCCTAAAGAGATGGGAGGACAGTCCTTTGTCCAGAACCTTTCCCCAAAGTATTGCTGGTGGTACATGCTTCTCTCTCCTTCCCTAACTCACCTTAAGTAATTCACCTTTCTGCATTTCCACCGAAGCAGGTCGCCATCTCCCCGGCAGACCTAGTGCCGAGCACGGCGATCCTGGTGCACCGTGCAGCCTTCTCCTTACAGTGGGAGGAGAAGGTGCAGAGGGACAGCAGGAGTAACTCCTGCCGTTTCTGGCTCAGTGACATTTCTCCTTACACTTGCCTTTCTCATTGCTTCTGTTTACTTGGTTTGAACGTTACAAAGAAAAAAACCTGGTGATTGCCCTAGATGGAAATCTGGGTCTGTATTAAGACCATCCTACTTAACATAACTTTGGGTCTACCTTAACCCACTGAACCCACAGGGTGCAGGTAGGCTGAACTGGTTATTGCTTTCTCAGCCCTGGACACACAATAAGTACCTAAATGTGTCCAAGACACCAAAGGAAGGAGTCTTAATATGTCCTAGAGACTTTACAGCTTCACAGAGATGCTGGGAAACGTCCTGATGCTTCAGCTGTGCCACTGGGAATCTTGGGCACCCCATGCTGGCAGAACATCCCCTTGTGTCCTCATGATGATATTCTGCCTTGACTTTTGTCTTTCTGTTACCGCAAGCAACCACGCACGTCTCTGCACCTCTAAAGCCAGACTGGCTTGAGGTGACAGAAAGAGGTGGCATTGAAGCATTGTCTGAATGTGATGCTGGTCTGCACATCCTTCTGAACTTCTCTTTTGAGACGGTGCTTCTCTGTAAATCATGTAATTCTCTTCTTTTTCTTATTTTTCTCTTCTGCTTTTTTTTTTCCTTTGACGCTGAGCACAGGCTGAGTGATTACTCAATGCCCAGATCTGGGCTACAGCACCTCTGAATCCCGCTTGTCCTTTCCCATGACACACAGGTCGCGTCCTCCTGTGTGCTAGACTCTGTATGGACACCAGTGAAGAGATAGTCCCAAAGAGGCTACAGTCTCAGTTTGAAAGCTAAGACATGTCTGACCAGGAGAAAAGCAGAATATATTCAGCTCTTTCTTCTTCAGGCTATGGAGACTGGGTCTGTTTTGAGCTAAATAATGCTCCTCGTCTGCAGTAAAACCTGTATTTTCAGTGCCTCACTAGGCTGTGTTGGCAGGCTGCTCCACTCATGTTTTTGGGGGCCATTTTGTTGCAATAAGGGAAGTGGTGTGATTCTCCCCACGCTGGTGCTGAGGTGAGGTGGGAGGAACCGTGATGACTTCAGTGGTGTCACCCTGTCCCTGCAGGAGGAGGCTGATGCAAAGCACTCGCCTGAGATTTCGTTGCGTAGCTGAGAGCTTGGTTAGTGCCCGTGTGGCTGGTGCCCACCATCGAGGGGTCTGTGCACAAATGTCAGGCCCAGGAAGCACGCGAACGGCTGGGGTGGTGCAGTCTTGACAGGAGGAGCCCAGACTGCTTTGACAATTTGGATAGGAAGACAAGCTGCTTTCTGGCTGCTGTCCCTTCCCTCCAGCCCCTCCCAGCAAAAAGCTCGCAGGTGTAAGGATGGAGATGGCACCGCTGCCTTTTAGCAGATCTGGATGTGTGTGCGGAAGAAATGCAAGGCATCAACAATCTGGAGAGGCAGGATCTGCTGTCTGGGAGCAAACCACTCACGCGTTCCCTTGTAGACCCTTGTATACAAAGTCTTCCACCCTTCCTACCACCTCGGCTGAAAAAGACCTCTCCCAGCCAAGCCCAAATTGACAAACATGGCTCACATGCAGTTGCTTCCAACCTCCAGCCCTGCTCCTGCATCTGTGGCTGCTTCTAAGCCCTGTGGCTATCCTTTCACATTGCACAGGGGGGACCCCTTGCACATAATTAGCAAAGTGATAAGACTACATTAATCAAAGCTATCTAAACCAGGATTCTTGCTGAAACAGCCTATTCCTCATCAAATCTGTGACAGAATGTGAGCACCAGACTCTACAATGCTCTGCAGGTAGCAGCTGCGTCCATTAATTACTCTAGATTCGTTAACAGTTTGTCCTTTGGGGGAGGATTTTGCTGGGAGAGATCACTGATAGCCCCCTGCCAAGCTCTCCTGGACAAGTGGGCCAGGTTTTTCTGGTGTGTGGATGAGCTGGGTTTTCTCTTGTTGGAATTCCATGATGACTTTGTGTTTGTGTTGATTGGGTTTGTCTCATCATCGTATCCGACCTGAGCTGTGCAAATTCCCTGCCCGTGGCAGGGGTGTTGGACTAGATGATATTTATCGTCCCTTCCAACCCAAACCATTCTGTGATTCTATGAAATTCCTCAGTTTTGGGGGGTGGGGATGTTATCTGACAGGTTATTAGTGCCATACAATGAAGCACACATAAAGGTTTTAGCAAAAGTAGAAAAAAACCTCACCACCTTGCAAAACAAAACAGCAAGGCCAGTGCGAATGGGGACGTCGTGACTCCATGCATGGCTTGACCACCTGCAAAGAAGAGGATGTTTGGAGGAAATGTGCATTAAAATCCTGCTGGAATCCTCCCTTTGGGAAATCCCTGGCTGTCAGGTCATGTCACAGTTTGCCCTATTTTTGATTCGGAGGGAGTTGCATCCTGGTGCCCAACGCTTCCTCCAACCCACCAGCAGTTCTCGCTGCCCCACAACGGCTCTCTGAACCCCAGACCCTACGAGACACACAGCACCACTGTGGCTGAGGTGTAATAGTGATTGACACATAAAATGAGCTGGGGGCTTCATTTCGTTTGGAGCTAGTTTAACAAGGTTCTCCCAGGGCAGGGAGAAGGGGCTATTGAGGGAAACCACTCCATTCTGCTTTAGAAACACTTGCCCCAGGCTGGAGATTGGATTATTAATTTAACCAAGGGAGCTAAAGCAAGCAAAATACTCAAAATCATCCTGATTCACCCTAAATACCCACCTCATTTGGTCTAGTTAATACTCGTTTCCAAACACAACTCGAATCTTCCCTGTAGTACAGGCTGAGGAATACAGACCTTACCAGCAGTTTCTGGAGCTGTTGCAGTCACCCTGCAGTGAATGTGCCCCTGGCTTGTTTTTCGCCCTACATGGGTCTCTGGTCCTACACCCCAGGGAGCAGGAGAGGCTCAGCCTGACATGAGGAACCACGTCAGTGGGGTTGGCATGACCGTGCTGCCATGCATGGGGTCAGGGAAGCCCAAGATATTCCCCAGGAGCATCCCTGGGCAAATACATTGCCCCGAGCTGCAATACAGAGATATTTTTATGGCCCAGAAGGGGCTGTTTGCTCTCACGGGCAGATCTTCCTCACATCTCTGCATAGGGCAGTTGGGATTGCCAGTCACACAGGGAAATTTTAGCAGCAGAAATTAAATTATGGCACTTTTCTTCCCTGGGTAGAGGCGTATGGAGCAGGTTGCAAGAGTCCGGCCATGGCAAGCTCACCGGCTCTGCCCTGCCCCTCTCCTGCCACAACGCTCAACCACCTCTGGCCCTGCTCCCTCCTCCGGCCCCGGCTGTCGCGGGAGGTTCCCGGGGACATGGCTGGAGGGGAAAGGCACTGTTATCTTTTCATTTCCTGAGCCCACTCTGCTGCGGTTTTGCAGGGAGCAGAGACAAGGAAGCGCTCGCCGACGCTCAGCAGCCAGTTCAAGCGGTCCCTGGAGCTGTTGATGAGGACTCTCAGCGTGTGCCAGCCCTTTTTTGTCCGCTGCATCAAGCCCAATGAGTACAAGAAGCCCATGGTAAGTCCTGCTTTTCTCTCCTGGTTGCTTTTCGTGCAGGACTGCCCGCAGGGTCACTCTGCCCTGGAGCTAACGGCAAAACTCCTTTGGGCGTCAGTGAGGCCAGGATTGACCCTGGGTGCTTAAAAAACCAACCCACAGCCTGTTCTGCAAGCAAGTGGGTCACCAAAGGGTTGGCAAAATCAGGCACTTGCTTTGCGAGCCAACAGCACCCCAAAACTTTTTGCAGAGGGGAGCTCCTGCCCCTGCCTTTCTTCCCAAGGACAACCTGGAGGAATTCACCCTGCAGCCATTTCTCCTATAGGAAATGCCTCTGAATTTCCATAGGGGGTAGGCGCCTCCCTGCCAGAGATTTAGGCTGAGCTGTAGGGCCCTGGGTTTAGTCCTATGACAGGGTTCAATCTTTCCTAAATGCAATTCCCCTTCCTATGGGTGTTTTCTACAAAATCTTTGCTCCCAAGGGATCTCATTCAGTTTCACCCCTGTTTGATCCTCTCAACTGCTTTTTTTTTTTTGCACCGATTGTGAAAGCACCATTATAAAAGCAGAGAAAAAAGAGGCAAAATAGCACAGAGGAAAGGTGAGAGGAATTATTTCGATCTGATTCCCAGGGACTTGATTCAAAAGCAACGAACGCTCTGGGGACAAACTTTAAGGAACAAATGAAAGGGAAGGAGACGGCTGTAAATCCCCCTGACCACAAACTGCCCACAGAGGGGACTCTGAGTTTTGCAGTGAAAGGTAGACGATAAGGCGGGTGCTGAACGCCCCGATCCCACTGTCAGCACCTTACAGGATTGGACCCTGGTGCTGTTAGCAATCACTGTTAGCTGCTCACCACTCAATAATGATACTGCCTGGGGAGGAAGAGCTTTATTTAATGATAATTTCAGCTATTTGTTTCTGTGAAACATTTTGCCCATGCCTTTGCACTTCAGTAGAGTTAATCTAGCCAGAACTGGAGCTTTATCTAAAGTCAGTGTCTGCTATCAAAGCTCAACTGAGTGCAAAAAAGCACAAAATACTGAATTTCAGAGCTGTTACATGCAAGCAGTGTTTGTTTGAAACTTACTTTTGCTGTTCAGTGAACCTAATATGATGGAGGGCGAAAGGTTTGGTGGCTCTCTCAGAGCAGTTTAACTGCACCCTTATCCTGGTTTTGGTGAGCATAAAAAGAGACCTAATAGCATGTTAATGGAACACTTTAGGTTAATATTTAACAATATGTCTGATCTGAGATTATCATCTCAGCTGAGATCAAAACAAGAGCTTCTTTAAAAACATGGGTGATGTTGAGAAATAGGTGTACATCCTGAACTGAAGTTAACAAATTATTCCCCATGCCCTGATTTTGAGCTGCTTTTACACCTGGATGTCTGGGATTCGGTCTGGCATTTTGTGTCCTGCGTAGGAAGTCTGTATTTCATCAGCTCTTGCAAGCGCTAAGCCAGAAGTCTCTGTCCCATTTATCTACAAAACTTTCAGTGGGACATAAAAACAGCTATAAGTTTGAAAGAAACGGACAAAGAGAAATTAATCTCCCCATTAAAGTAATGAGTGGATGAGCTAACACTGAATCAGAGACTGTAGTGCTATATGATATGAAATGTGATTTCTTGCTAGATTTATTTTTGGCCTTGGTTTAATGATACAAAGGAAAAAAAGAATCCCAGATAATGGTACACAGAGCTGTGCAGGGTGACTGCAAAAGAGAACATTTTCTGGGAGTTCATTTTCTGTCCCTGGCTTTGAAGGAAAGTGTACTGATAGTGATAGGAAATGGGATAGTGGGAAGCGAAAGGTCAGTGGAAAGCCCTGACTGTTTGTTACTTTATGTTTTAAAACTTTTGCTTCCTTCTAAAATGTGCTTTGGGCGGAAAAAAAATTGTTTGCATCATGATGCTGGCTGGAGTTCTCTGGGTCTGTACATCGTCCCACGCTGCTGTTTCTGAGCATTGCTCTGTTGCTCTGATTAGTCCACGAGAAATGTGTGGGATGAATTAGGCAACAAACCATGCAAAGAAAGTCAAAACTGTCTCCTGCAGTCTGTGCCTCATCAGGCCCTGATGCCAGGAGCGCATAGTTGCCCATATGTGCAATAAACTAACCCTGCAAACTCTGGAGGGTTATTTGCAAGCCCACAACCGCTCACATACCCTTCTGCTTCATGGCAGGGGGAGACAGAGGAACACACACCTCTTTCTTCTGCACCTTTCTTGTCCCCAGTACCCACTTTAGGTAGGGACAGCTTGAGACCAAGTCTGGATGATGCTACTTTCTGCCTTTTCCTCGCTCATCTGTTGTCTTCTCCTGGGATCAGGATCTGTCTCACATCACTCCAGCCCTTTCATGGTTAAGTGGCTGCTATGAGCTGGTCAAAAAGCTCCCTCCAGGGATGGAGAGATGGGTGCATTCACAGGGCAGATCCTCCTGTGCCAGGAGGTGCATCTGGGATACAGGGATATCTTGAGATACAGGCACATACCTATCTCTCCTCACTCACTCCAGGGAGAGCCTAGGTGACTCACATTTTAGATGCTCATATCTGTACATGCACAGATGCTCACATTTTAGACAGCTGAAGGGAGGGCAGATGAATTACACCCTGGCAGTAACTCTTTGGCCCCAGCTGGGGTTTACTGTCCTGACTTTCTGTGGTATGCCAGCACCACACTACGTCTGCCTTTATTTTACACTTGGGTTGAACATTTTTTGGATGCTCCCAGCAGACAACATCAGGCTGCAAGAGGGTGCACTCAGGGGCTCCAGGATCCTCCTCAATGCACTAAAGCACTGAGCCAACAGCAGGGACTTTCCTGAACCTCCCTTTCCTTCAGCAGATCTGCCCACCTAGCAGCACCACTCACTATCCACCCAGAGGTGCCCAAAGCAAGGGAGAGCAGCCAGGTTTATTAGCAAACATCTGCAAGGACTGGGTTACCTAAGTCTGCTGTCTGGCCTTGAAACTGTCTGTTGCTTGTCAGGAGCAGCCATGGATGCTGGTCTGAGATTTGTCCTTTCCCTAAAACCCTCCGCTGGTCTCAGTTCTGACCTGTTCATTTTAAGCTCCTCAGATGTCCTCCTGCATACAAGGTGGTTTGATGGTAACAAGCTTATCTCGGGGCCTCAGCATCTCCAAGGCTGCATGCTTCCTTTACGTGACTTTGGGGTGTCACCTGCCCTAAGATCAACTGGTGTAGGCACCCTAAGACCTTTGAGTGTCTGAGCCTTCACTGATATGGTCCACTGCTTCCCCTGCCTGCAAAACGGTACTGCCCTGCCTGTACAGGAGTGCTGTGATCACGCTGGTACAGCTCAGAGCAGCGGTCAGAAGTTAATGACCATGAGTGGTCATTGCGAGGGTGACTGTATGGTTTGACCCTTGTAGATGTGGCATCACAGCCCATTTTCCCAAAGTGATGTTCACCGTTGCATTGTGCTCTCCAGTTCTCCTCTCAGTCCTTTGTGTAATGCGTAGGACACATCCAGTCTTGCAAGTGGGAATTACAGAAATGGAGTGAGTCAAACACACTCAGCAGTTCATAGGATCAGGCCCATGACAGTCAACAGTCCTATGGCCATGGGTCCACCAAGCGAAGGATTTGGGTGGATGCCTGACTTGGTTGCCCCACACATCTTCAGAGTCCCCACTCTCTTACGGCCAGTCCAGGCCAAGATGTTCAATCAAACCACCATGTCCTGTAACCTCCCCAGCTGTTTGACCGGGAGCTCTGCGTCCGTCAGCTGAGGTATTCGGGGATGATGGAGACCATCCGGATCCGCCGGGCCGGCTATCCCATCCGCTACACATTTGTGGAGTTTGTGGACCGGTACCGGGTGCTTATGCCCGGGGTGAAGCCAGCATACAAGCAGGTGAGCATCTTCTTCCACAGGTAACAACTGCTCTCTGCTGGGCTCTCCAGAGATATTTATGGGGTGTGCGTCCTCTCCAAAAGCAATTATGCAGCATTTGAGGCCCAGGTGTTACAGCGGTGCTCTGGGCTTTCCAAGCAAAGGAAAAATGGTTACGGGGCTGGCAGGGACAGGGGCCTGGAACTGAGAACCAGAAGGAGTCCCCATTGGGCTTGGGAGGAGCAATGGGTGAGGCTGGTCCTGGTGAATCCCACTCCCTCTCCCGCTAGGGCGACCTGCGTGGGACGTGCCAGCGCATTGCCGAAGCGGTGCTCGGGAAGGATGATGACTGGCAGATCGGCAAGACAAAGATATTCCTGAAGGTAGCTGGTTCTCCACATCCCCCCTGCCATCTGGGACCCTTGCTTGTGAAGGGGTTTCCTACCATCCCCTTTTCACCGCCAGACGTGACCCTTTCCCATGGTTTCTGGGCTGGCGTGGCAGTGGGTAGAACCTGGGCCAAGGCAGGATATTTGGGGCCAGTTTAGGAAGCGGTGGGCAGGAGGAAGCCCTGACACTCTGCCAGCACTGGTGCATGCACATACCCATGTGGACGCAGAAATAGTCACATACAGCGCACGACCTTTTCCCTCCTGGGCTGAGCCACTCAACCTCATCTCCTGCCTTCACCCAAAAGCACAGCAGCAGGAGGGATGTCCATGCAAAGCCCTGCAGAGAGAGGGACCGAGAGCACAACAGGCTCGCTTTGCTTTCAGGATGTCCTTGCGCAACGCAAGACGTGCCTACAGCTTCCCTTTCTGCATCAGTCCAGCTGACACAGAGCAGCCCAACGTTGCAGGTCCCCTGCAGCCCCATTCGCACTCATCTCTCCTTACAAACCCATTCCTGTGCTGCTCTGGGACGATGAGGCTGAGCTGGCCAGGAACCAGGCTGGAAGCAAAGGTTTCTCTCCAGCAAAAATCTCAATGGTAAACCCTGACTGCTTGTATCTAAATTCACCCCCAACCCCATCGCCAGTGCAAACACCCCCATCTCTTCCCTAGAAGCTGTTCCCACTAGTCGCTCTTTCCAGAGCCTGTTATCAAGATCTCGCAGCTGTCAGGGCAGGAAACGGAGAAATTGGGAGGCCCCGAGGGGCCACGTGAGGTCAAGCAAAGCAGGAAACGTGTGGAGCTGCCTCTGCTGCACCCAGCACAGCCGGGCTCAGCGTGCCGCAACTGGGAAAGAAAGCCGAGTTACAACAGCAATAGAAAGCTTGGACTGGTGCATCTGAAAGCCTCAGGGCAAGGAAATTCAGAGTTTCAGCGAGCTGTTTTGTCCTTAGAGTATGGAAGTATTTCAGCCTTGGATAGAGGGAGCGATGGGACCCAGGCAGACTGGAGTTTATTCTCAAACCTCTCCAGTGCTCCCAGGAACTGCTCCCATGGCTGACAGCACTAGCAGGGAGCTTTGCATGGAAGGGCAATGTAATTTGGTTGTTTTCAGACTATAAAGTATTGCATATGCAGCTTCTGGATGCTCTGGTTCATTTGGAAATGAAGGCAGTAGATCACTAGGGTTTATGTTAGGATTTCCCCAGTGAGTAGGTGGGGTGATACCTGGGATGTAAAATGTCCCAACAGTTTATTTTGGACATCCTCTCTGGGGAAGGGCCTCGTACCACCCTTCTTGCCACATGTCAGGGAGATGGAGAGCTTGAGACATGGGTGCTGTGTCGCTTCCTCCCACAGGACCACCATGACATGCTGCTGGAGATTGAGAGAGACAAGGCCATCACGGACAAAGTCATCCTCATCCAGAAGGTGGTCCGTGGGTTTAAAGACAGGTAGGTGTGCCCAGGCAGCCAAGGAGGCCAATGGCATCCTGGCCTGTATCAGAAATAGTGTGGCCAGCAGGAGCAGGGCAGTGATCATGCCCCTGTACTCGGCCCTGGTGAGGCCGCACCTCGACTACTGTGTTCAGTTTTGGGCCCCTCACTACAAGAAGGACGTTGAGGTGCTGGAGCGTGTCCAGAGAAGGGCAACGAGGCTGGTGAGGGGTCTGGAGAACAAGTCTGATGAGGAGCGGCTGAGGGAGCTGGGGTTGTTTAGCCTGGAG